CACCTCAGTTCCTCTGTTCCATCTCTACTAAAGCCAACATTCATTTCACACTTCCTCCTTTCTTTTTGTCTTTATTTATTTATTTGCACCAATTGACCTCTGTTCATATTCACCATCAACTTTCTCCAATTAAACATACTTCTAAACTCTTTAACTAATATTTGTAACTCTTCTTCTGAAATGTCCCCAGGACAGTATCTTCTACAAATGGCTAACAATTCAACTCCCATATACAAATTGTATTCCTTTACCAAACTTGATCTGATTGCAGTACTCTTGCTTTCAGACCTCTTTATATCACAGTCATTATACCCCAGTTGCAGTTATATCCTTGGCATAAACCTACTTTCACATGGAACTAACTTCCCTCTTTGTAACACTCAGACACAGGCTCCACTTTTCCTATTAAAGTTCTGAAAGGCATTAAAAAATTTCCCATATATTTAATAAAAAATTCTAATGCATCATATATTTTTCCATCAACCCCATTGAATACCTTTTCTATTTACAATAGATGAATTCCTAAAACTATGATTTTTCCCTTCTCCAAATGCTTTTCACTCATCTCATTAATGTAAACACATGGTCCACACATCATCCTTTCCAAAATCCATTTGACTCTTCCTCCTACAGGTTCTCTTTTTGGAACAATTCTCTCATTGATGCAACAATACACTTTCCCTGATATACTCCAACAAAATTATTCTCCTATATTTTCTGCATTCATTCTTATCTACTAACCCATGCAGCAGAACTCAATTTGTCCTCTACCATTCTTTGGCACTATTAACTCCAAGCATACTCTGTAATCTCTTATCACACATTCTAGCACTCTTCCACCTCCCACCTTAACATTTCCATTGATTCAATTCCCTCCTGGAGCCTTGCTATTCTGAAGCTTACAGTTTCTCATTTCCTCCTCACTAGTGAAGTAGATATTTCATAAATCATATTGATGCTACATTACAGTATTTTGAAGGCATGTCCTTCCTTCCTTTATATTATTTAATTTGGAACCCGAGACTCCAGATACTTCTTGCCATATTGCACAAGGGTACTTAGTGACAGCACTAGGACGTCATTTCCTATATAATATGGAATAAACTGTTGAAATTGAAATAAACTAGTAAAGTAAACAAGGAATTAAAATAAAACCGCTAACATGCATACCTAAATGCAAATATGCATCCAAACTGTTGATATATACATATTTTACCTTAACTGTTCTTGCTTCCTTTCAATTTCAGAGGCATAGGGGCTTTCATTGGCAATAAGTTTCTTTGCTAGTTCATCACATTGATTGAAACGCTCAGATCCAGCCTCCACACGATGCTTGAAGTCATCGAATTTAGCCTGAAGGAGCTGTAAATATGGAATGAAAAGAATATGCATTACATACACTTAAAAATAATAATAACAAATATTTGTTGAAATACATTTCAAGTCAAAAGGGTGTACCATCTGGGTCAACTGAGTGATCTGACAAATTTTATGCCTATTTCTATATTGTGGCTTAAATTTACATGACCTATTGGTCTTGGTAATGAAATGCATAATTGTAAAAGGTAGTAAACTAGACCATAATTAAGAGCGATTAAAATTTACCAAGTCGAGAAATATACCGGACACTAATGATTGTACTCTAAGTGCCTTCTCCTTCCTGTATCTAGTTGGCTTCAATTTAATAAATTGCCCGAGACAGTTTCTCAGTCATAAATGGTGGAATAACTTTGAAATCACTATTTTATGACAAGCCAGGGCCAGATGATTATGACTGTACCTCCCCCTCCTCCCAATGGGAAGGGAGGAAGTGGATTGGAAATGAAGGCTAAAGCCTGGAATGACAACTTATACAGTAGGCCAGTAAAATAACAGACTGGGTGTTTGCCTCTGTTTTTAACCTTGTGGACTTTGTATGTTGTTTGGTTCAAGCTCGGCCATGAAAAATTATTTCAGGGTCCATCTTCCCTTTATATATTACTTTTTGACAATGCTAAGAAGAATCTCACTTTTTTTAGTAAATTGTTTAAAGATTTTTTTGCTCTTAACAAATTTTGATTTTTTTTTTTTTTTACCTACAGTACATTTTTCTCTAGTCCCTTTAATTAACACTGTTTAAACAGATATGCTATTTTCCATGCCACTTCTTAACATGGTCCATTCTCTAGACTTACATATGAACCATTTTCTGGTTTGTCTAAGTTTTATGAATTACTTAGTACTGTTAAACATTTTTTTTTCATACCAAATATGTAATCAACTGAAATTTCTGGATGCCTAATCTTTATGACTGCCCAATAAACTCGGATATCTCTCATAATAAATACAGATTTTGAAAGTGTACCATACAATACAGTACAGTGTACGTTAAAATTATAACTTTAGTAATTTTTAACTTTTTAGGTTACAACCAAACTATTACAAAAATAATTTCAAATTAACATATAGCAAACCCTATTTTCAAAACGATGATTTTAATGTAAATTACAATTTCAAAATTTCTTATGGATAAACTTAACTTTTGTGCATGATAATACTTTGTTTTCCTTGGTTCAATTCCAAAGCTTTTTTTTTTCATTAAGAGCAAATAGAAATAATTTATCTTATGTAATTTTAAAATTATATTCTAACTAATATTGTTTTCCTAATTGATAAAGAAATTTAAAAAAATTCCAAGATGTGTTAAATGAAAAATCTAATTTGCATGCTGTCTTTTCCTAGCTATCAATCAATGCAAGTCTACATCACTGCATATTTTGTCTTGCCTGTCATTACACCTATATAAAAGCTTACACTCTCAAGGGCATGCCTGTATGTTAATATGAGGTTTAGAAAGATGCAAGAAATTATTCAACCAAAGAAAATCCCTAAAATTTTAAACTAACCAACAAATGCTCATAATCCTGCCCAAAGTCCTCAGAGGTTGCAGTTTGCATTTGTTCAGTGATCCACTTCTCTAAGTCCTCGGCCTCACGGAAGTACTCATGGCGGTACATCGACTCCATCAACTTTTGCCGAAGGTGTGCCGATAATTTCTGCAGCTCTTTTAATTCCTGATTCAGCACCTAAAAATAAATACATTACATTAAATATGAGAAATGTCTGTGTAATATCTAAATTAGGTAAATAAACCCTTCCTAACAATAAATATTTCCACAATCATATCCCTTTACAGTATTGTACCACAAATCAAAACCATGGATCTGCTTTATATAAGAGTATTTTGAGTTTTATCTTTGCCCATCTTATTGAGTTTAATTTTCTAGTAATTACTCATTGATTTATTGTAGAAAACAAAGATGTGAGAATAAATATGTCCAAAACAGGTAACCAAAATAATAATCTGCATAATTCTGGTAATCAACAATTACTCACTGACAGTACAGGTTGTACCTCTCTAGTCCGGAACTCTGTGGTCCGGAAACTCCCATGGTCCGGAACGTTTTTAGTTTGTCCAATAGATAGAGAGGCAACTTTTTTTTTTTTTCTTTTTTTTGCTTATCTGAATTATTATTATTATTACAGGAGTATGAAATTTTTGCCTCTCAGGCCCCAATGTGGGTCAGTGACCTATGCCCGGGTGGGCTAATCCCCGTAAAAAAACAACAAAAGCCGCGGGAAATTAAGGTTTGTTTACATCCGGCAGTTCGGCTGCTCTCTCTCTCTCTCTCTCTCTGCTTGTCTATACAGAGTACAACATTTAACCCTTCAATATATATGAGCAGTAAATAAGTGTTGCTTTCATATTCTTATGTAGAGTAATGACGATATGTTTTCACATGTGCGCACTTACATACGTGCAGTCTCACTTTTTTTACCATTAACGGTTAGCTACAGGTAGTTCTGCTATAACGCGATAGTAGTGTTCTTGTAAAACATCGTGTTATAGAAATTCGTGTAATAGAAATAACAGGGCTTATGGAGAAAATAGGGTTAGGTGCAGATTACTCCAAATCGGAAAAAAATTTCGTAGTTAGCCTAACACAAAGGATAGCACAGTCTAAATAAATGTTACATTCATATCTAATAATGAAATCATACAGTAAATGTTACACTTTACCTTGAAAAAATATGAATATAACTTGATGGGGGATAAGGGTGATGTTGAGGCTGAGGAGTCATGAAACATCAAGCTTTTCTTCAAGTGTTATAGCCTTTCTTTTACGATCACCACCGGAAATGCGATCACCAGAGTGCTTCCCAGAGATATTCTTCTTTTCCATAGTCACAAAATTGGAGAAACAGTAATCAGAATTCACTGAGGACACTTAAAAACTTCACAAGTGTTTCAAACAAAGTGTGGAGTAAACAGAGCGCGCGGGTCTAAAACGCTATGTATTTTGTTTTTCTCTTATTTAAAATTTTACATTTTACATATACTGTACAGGTATACTGTATACATAAATATTACATAAATTATTTCTGCAATTCTTCACAAACAAAACACATAAATCAATTGAACATGTGATGTCGAACGTGAACTGTAAACACTGCATAACCCCGCACCAAGCCACAATGTACAGTACACTTTAAATGCTACTTATTTTGTTTTTCTCTCTTATTTAAAATTTTACAATTTACATATACTGTACAGGTATTTCTTCACAAACAAAACACATAAATCAATTGAACAAGTGATGTCGAACGTGAACTGTAAACATTGAGCCAAGCCACAACACTGTTCAGTACACTTTAACACTTTAAACGCTACGTATTTAGTTTTTCTCTTTTATTTAAATTTTTACGATTATATATATATATATATATATATATATATATATATATATATATATATATATATATATATATATATATATATATATATATATATATATATATATATCATGTAAATCCACAATGAAAACGTGGAGAAGATAAATCTTGATAAAATCACACGGGAAAATGGAAACAACGGAGCACCTTAGCTTTCGTCTTTATTCAAGACATCTTCAGAGGCAACTGGATTACATGGACAGAGAGAGGCTTAAATATACAGGGTGACCTAAAAACATGAGGTCAGCTCATAATGATGACATCCACTAATCCCCACACCAACACACACGTAGAGGAGCTTAAGAGAAGTGTGGTGACGTGACTAGCCAGGTCAGGTCAGGTCAGAAAAAAGGGACCCACAAAATAACTATCATACATCTAGATCAAAGGTTTTCAAAGCATTTTTAACCTTGGGCCACTGACAAATAAATTTATGTAACATATTATCAGTTTTGAACTGACCATCACTAAGGTTTATTGATTTTAATTCCTTAATCAAACTAGCTTCAACCAGAAGTCTTTCTGTGACACAAGATGATTTGTGGGGATTAGTGGATGTCATCATTATGAGCTGACCTCATGTTTTTAGGTCACCCTGTATATTTAAGCCTCTCTCTGTCCATGTAATCTAGTTGCCTCTGAAGATGTCTTGAATAAAGACGAAAGCTAAGGTACTCTGTTTCCATTTTCCCGTGTGATTTTATCAAGATATATATATATATATATATATATAAATTACAATTTACATATATATATATATATATATATATATATATATATATATATATATATATATATATATATATATATATATATATATGTAAATTGTAATTTACATATTATTCATATTATGCTAGAGCGCCCACAAAACATGAGAAACGTTTGAGTCCCCCAGTAGAGATGTCGTTCTCTATCCACTCCAGGATGTCCGTTTTCTTTTTGTGTACTCGCTCAGGGACTCAAGTATTTCTGTATATGACACAGGATGATAAGGGAATTTGAATTTATTTGTTTATTTATTTATATATAATATACTGTAATATATTAAATATACTGCAAGTATTTTCTTTAATTTATATACGTGTTTCGCGAAAAAGGGAGGCTACATTTATGGTGATCGTTAAGGACCAAACTCCGAATCCATGACGTGACTTCTGTTCATTATTTATATCCTAAATTTACCACTGTAGGTAGTTTCAAGAATTAATGCAGTCATTTACTGAATATTCTTTGCAAAAAAATAAATTTTAAATGAATTATTTATAAGAGATAAGTATTATGATCAGTAAATATACAGATATGCATTACTGACCACCTCCGAACACAAGGACGGCTAAAAATAGCCACAGGCGGTCACAGTCAAGGTCACTTTCCCTTTCTTGTCACTGGCAAATGGGGGAGGGGGGGGATGATAATAGCAGCTGTGTTTATTACGGTATGTTAGACTGGTCTATAATGCATTTTTATTATTTTAATATACCGGTAATCTTCATTTTAATCCAGCTTACCAAACGTAAGTTTCAGTATAAAATAATTAGTGGTACTGTAGGACCTTGTGAGTGGTTTACTGTATACATAAATATTACATAAATTATTTCTGCAATTCTTCACAAACAAAACACATAAATCAATTGAATATGTGATGTCGAACGTGAACTGTAAACACTGTGTGTGATGTAGAGAGAGCGCGGGTGTAAAACGCTATGTAATTTGATTTTCTCTTATGTAAAATTTTACAATTTACTTATAATATATAGGTATACTGTATACATAAATATTACATACATTATTTCTGCAATTGTTCACAAACAAAACACATAATTCAATTGAACATGTGATGTCGAACGTGAACTGAAGCCACAACAACCGTTCGAGTGGAATCGCGTTAGAACAAACGAGTTCGCGTTTTACAAATATCGTTCCTCAATTCATAAATCGCGTTCGAGCAAATTCGCGTTGTCAAAACACGCGTTATAGCAGAACTCACTGTACTTATATTGTTCCATTTATTAACATTAAATAACATTACAGGTACTGTACTTCAAACAACCATATTTTTTTTACATTAATTTTACTACAGCTACAATCAGGGTCTTATTTTCTTCAGTTTTATATGTAGAACCAATCAGTCACTGACTTTGTAAGCTTTAACATAAACAATGCCGGCAGCCGTCTCGTCTGTTTTAATATTCCACGTATCATTAATAAATTGTATTGTTAATTTTGCACACAAACATTATTTCAATAAAAACAAATTCAGAAACATTAATTAAAATATATATGAACAGTAAATAAGTGTTGCTTTCATATTCTTATGCAAAGTAATGACGATATGTTTTCATGTGTGCGCACTTACATACGCGATCTCTCTTTTTTCTTTACCATTATCGTTAGCTACTTCTATTGTTCCATTTATTAACATTAAATAACATTACTTAAAACAACCATATTAATTTTACAACAGCTACAACCAAAGTCTTATTTTCTTCAGTTTTATATGTAGAACCAGTCAGTCACTGGTTTTGTAATCAACAAAAACAATGCCGTGCCATTTCCTCGTGTGTTTTAATATTCTACGTATTATTAATGAATTGTATTGCTCATTTTGCACACAAACATTAATTCAATAAAATAGACATTTAGTAATAAACAATAATGAATCTTTTGTACATAAGAGAAATGACGCTGTTTACACGATTATGCAAGTCGCCTGCACGTTGACGGGCCGTTCAAACCCGTCGAAATTCAAGTTTCCGCCGTCAAAATTTTTATTTATTTTATTTTTGTGTGTTCCAATAAAATAAGTTGAATTAAAAACTCGCGAAATTTGAGAAGCTACTATACGACATTTAACCCTTCAATATGTCTTAAAAGAGACCATGATGCAGAGAAAGTGGTGCTAGTGCTTCCAAGCATAAGCAAAAGTCACTATCTATCCAGGAAAAGGGTGAATTTCCATGGTCCGGCAATTTCCATGGTCCGGCACCGGTCAGGTCCCGAGGTTGCCGGACTAGAGAGGTACAACCTGTACTGTACTATACTTACTTAATGTTTCAAAAAGTGCACCTCTGACAAATTTGCAAGTGTGAGTGTACTGAGGACATTAGTACATATTTACAATCTATTATTATTTATATGCTATGTAAACAATATAACATTATATTTCTTGAGTAATCTGTAAAATGTATATTCTCTATTGTATGACCCCCATCATAGGAATGACCTGTAATAAGTTATCTACACAGTTTTAGTAAAGATTGTGATACGATTCAATCATTTGTGAGCTCCAATGAGAAGTACACTCTAGGACTAAAATCATGGACAGCCACACGGAACCTACACTAGTGACCTCTGGCAATTAGAAATCATAAGTTAAAACTATGATATGATACATATATAAAATAAGTCTAATAAGTTTAAACTCTAATAATAATATAAATAACATAAAACACTTCTTAAGTTAAGTACCCCCATTGCTGTTAATACTTTTCCTCATTGCCAAGGGTCACTAGTGTTAGTTTCATGCAGCTGTCCATGACTTTAGTCCTAGAGTGTGCATACATGTTTTTGTTTGTTGTGAAGTTGTCAATTGTCAGTCTACAACTAGAGTTGCATTTACTTGACCTACAAAAAATTTAAAATCTCAAATACACATTGAAATATGCGAGATGTTCAAATTAACTAATTGTAATTAATCAATGAATGTGAAAAGTGCTTATGAATGTTTGACTCATTTCATTTGACAGAAACCAAAGAAGATGTAATTTCCAATTCGCTCCTTTGGTGATTGTTTAGGAAGGCCTTGAAAGCTCAGATGCTGATTAGATTACAATGATTAGAATTAAGAAATGAAATGCATGTAAACCTTTAGATATGCTATTTGCAACAGAACATGTATACTAGTCAAATTAATGACTGTAAATCACTAATATGTCTTGAAGCGAGATAGACTACCCAGAACACACTAGCGGAGCCTCAGTCAGACTGAGTGGGCTTTCAATCACATACAGGTATTGTTGAATTTCTGCCCATGTTAGTCGATTATATTGTTGAATTAGTCTATTTTGGTAATGTTTAATTAAGCAAGGAGCTCTGATAAGATAGTTACTAATGTTATGTTGTAAGAATGAATACCAGACCAGGTTGCTTTAATCAACCTGCTAAAGATTTCGTCTATGTCGGTCAGACCAGGTGTTTTCAACCATATACTGTACAGGTAATGGAGGTCAATGCTACTTGGGAGGTTGACAGAGAAAGTGATATGATGTTGGACCTCAGGTTGGAGCTATGTTGAGATCTATTAAGCTCAGGGAGAGTGGGCATATGAAACACCAAGCATTACCTTGTTCCACAGGGCTGGAGAGATTCCTCCTTATGTTATCCTGAACCATTATGTGCTACTACTGATGGGCTATAAGTACAGTAATATAAGTATTAGGTATGGTACTCAAGTAATGTGTATTTCTGCAGAGATTGCCTGTACTGTGTAGGATTGATAAGTGAACCCAGACAATGTACTGTACAGTAGAATCCCAGTTATCCTGAATCTGGGTAACCTGACCTAACCTCTCAATCCCATAGATACTGGATAACTTGGATTCTACTGTATTAAACAGTCCGGTGAGCATTTATTTAGGTGATATCACTAAGGCCCCTAGTTGCTAGTTCTAGGGACTTGATAGTGTGACCTGTAACAAGGTGCTTATATATGCTGTAAGTAATGGTATAGTATTATGATTGCTAAATTGTTAATTAAAGGTGGTTGTTTTTTAACTATAAAGTAGACCAAGTGGGTCTCTATTCTTGCAATTGTTCAATAAGTATAGAGAAGACCCAAGTGGTGATTCTTTATTTTTGTAATTGATGATGCAGTCTGTTCATAGATACTCTAACTTACTTTTGACAATAAGTAATTAATTGTTATACTGTATATGTATCACCTTTCATTCCTAAAGTATAATGTGCAAGCCAGAAAATACCCAGAATTCACTCGCATGTCTTGAACTCTTGCCAGCTACCAGATTTATTTAAGAGGACTTAATACTGAAGCAGAAGTTAATGCTTGGTATGCCTGGGTGGTGGTATCCTAGTTAAAACAAATAATAATTACTGTAAGTACAAATTCTTAGGCATGCCTAAATAAAATGGAAAATAAGAGAGAACTGGCACTAATGTATGATAGGCTGGCCAAGGACCTACATAGGCTGGCTTGAGACCCATACATTCCTGTGTAACTGTCCAAATGAGGGTGGAGAAATTTTAAGTTACATAGAATCATATTTAAAGTGATCAAATTCATGTCACTTGGTTTTAAAAAATTTTGCAGTCTTACTGATGTGAATTGTGTCTTATCAGAGTTGCTCAAAAACCTTACTAATAGCAGGAATTGGTTTAACACTACCATTTGAAAATTTTCAGTCATTAAACAGACATCTTAGTGGATATTTTCAACCCTTAACGGACTCCCTAATCTGCCCCGATATGTGCACAAATTGGACCACAAGGAACATAAAAGCATCCATTGGTGTTGGCTGCCATCCCTAACATTAACATCAATTAATGTAGGCTGTCATTTAAGGGTTAATAGGCTTGAATTATAATACAAATGCTAACTAAAGCAACATGTTATACTATTACCTGTTGTCTGTCCCTGATCAATTTAGATTCTGGGTGACTAGATTTGATCATCGATTCTGCCATTGTGCCCATCTCCTTCACAATACCACTGTATGTGTCGATTTCCAACTCCAAAGCCTGTAGGAAAAAATGTGTTAAACATGTTAAAAGTGTTAGGTGGAATACATTATACTCACTTGTCTACCATTATATTAACTCGGCTGCATTCGCATGGAAACATATGGAAGTTCAATAACCCACACTGAGAAAAAACCTAGCGGTGAAAAATGCAAACAATTAAATATGTAACTGATCATTAAAAATGCTTTGGTTAAGTGTAAAAGGATTTGTAGAAAAAATTATTTCATGTAAACTCAAGAACAACTTAGCATAAGTAATATAAATAAATGCCATTTGTATGGATTGCAAACCCTTTGAATTGTTACCATGGCAGGGTAAATATTCAAATAGAAGTGATTTTGATGTACGTAAGTTAATGCAATCACCACTAGAGACAGTCTTGTGAAATAGATTTCTTTAATCCCTCAATAAAATTGTTATCATTCCAAGAACCATCAGCATGACAACACTTATTCAATTCTGCTGATTTGCACCAAAAGTTTTTATCATGTGGATCTTGTCACTTGTTGACCAAGCCTACCAAGTTTGGTGCAAATCCCACAAACACGTTCTTAAGTTATACAGGGAATACATAGACTGACTGACAAGCCCCAAAACAATACCCTACCCTACAGTTGTAGGCAGGGTAATAACCAACACTATTTAAATGCTTAGCATCTGCTTACTTTTCAATTAAAATTTTAAACAACAATTTGGTCTCTATTCCTTCTTATTTCATGCACATCAAAAACTATCATAAACAATCTTCAATCATTTGCTAGACAGAATAATAATAATACCTGTACATCCAAAATTTTGATTATCTAAATCCCTTAATACTCAACTCACTCACACTTCACATCCTAATGAGGCATATAAGAACAACTCAATCACCTGCACTAGTGGATTGCCATACACTACATATTCATCTCATTTCCATATTCACTTTAGTTTCATTTTACTGTAATGCAGATGCTCAGGAAACCACAAGGTTCTTGAGAATCTACCCACATGACGATCTTGTTTCATCAAAAGTAAGACGATGTATAATCCAAGGTTTTGAACTGTTATGGGTCAAATGGAGAGCTATAGTGTATGTAAAAGTTAGAATATTAGAACTATTATGCGCGACTTGCATCACAAGCACTGCCAATCATTTGCATCAAACACAACCAACTTCTCCCCTCTAGTCTTCTCTCAAAATGCAGGAGTGAACACTAGAGCCTCTACTACTGTGATGAAGGCTGACACACTTCTCTTCCACAACCAGGCCCTATATCTCATTTACCTCTACATTTCACACAGGAGAGTATCACCCATCAACAGAACATTCCTTTGGTACATGCTCTTTGGTAACTCGTACACAATTCTAATTCTCAAACCAGGTGCCAAATTTTGACACAGTCTCTTTGAAAACACTGCAAATTGACAGTACTTATACAGTATTCATTTCATATAATGGAATAAAGCATGCAAGCCAATTCCACAAAAAGGGAGGATTCCACGAAATCAAATACAGTTATAACCCTGGCAAAAAAGTGGATACGTTCATGAAATCCAATTCGTCCTCAGAAACTTCGTTGTCAGAGTTATATTAAAATGGGAATGGGTTCCAGTAATTTGCTACTGTATTCTCTATTTTGCATACGGCAAAAATGAAAACAAAAATACTACAATATAAAATAGAAATGATACATGACATCATAAAATACAATAGCACACATTTTATGTACAGTAGTACCCCAATTTACGCGGTCAATTGAACCCACAGGGTACCGCGGAAAGCGAAAACCATGTAAAGTGAACAACAGAACATATGGGATTAATTCCAATAGAGACTGGCCCGACCCCCAAACTCCACTTTTTCCGACACAAAACCTACGTTGTAGTAAAAATAACATCTTAATTTTATGATGGTATGCACACACCATTAATATTTAAGAGAAATACAGTCACCAGTTAATGTCCATTCAAATAATGGACTCAACTCCCCCCCCTCTTCCCACGCTGGCCTCCCTCTCTGAGAAATGTTTGGGGGAAAACACTAGATTTTAAGGTATAGTAATAAATAATACCTTAAACTAAAGTTAGGATAATATAATTGACATTGCTGGATTCCTTGTAAGACCAGGAATATTTTGAATATAAATGTCATATATTTTGCACAAAAGATAACATTTACTCAGAGTAAACAAAATACTTACATTAGATCTAAAATTTGTATGTCTAATGCAAAATCTATGATGTTTATATTCAAAATGGTTTAACAAATTGTAAGAATTCCAGCAATGTAAATTATATTCTGGCCGGGTAATTTGAATGAATTTTATGAGCTAAAACAAATATCTTCAGTTAATAAAAAAAAAAAATATTGTTCATGACAAAATCTGTCAATCAAAGTACCCCACCTTGCCTCCCCCCCTCCTCACACTCACGCCAGCTGGGTGGGTCGGTCGGTCGGTCCCAACCCACCCCCCCACCTTCCCTCCCTACCAGATAAATGTGTGGGTGAAAACTCTAGATTTTAACGTTTAGTAATAAATAATACCTCAGACTAAAGTTAGGATAATATAATTGACATTTCTGGATTCCTTGCAGGTCAGGGAATATTTTGAATGTAAACTTCATATATTTTGCACAAAAGATAAAATATTTGCTTTGTGTAAACCAAATTATTACTTTAGATCTAAAATTTGTATGTCTAATGCAAAATCCATGATGATTATATTCAAAATGATCATCATATTGTAAGAATTCCAGCAATGTAAATTATATTCTGGCCGGGTAATTTGTATGAATTTTATGAGCTAAAACATATATCTTCAGTAAATAAACAAAGAAATATTCTTCAAGGACACTATCTGTCAATCAAAATAGTCCGCCCTAGCTGGGTCGGTCCCTCCCTCCCTACCTACCTACCAGAGAAGCGATTGGGAGAAAATAGTATATTTACATTTTTAGTAATAAATAATAACTCAAACTAAAGTTAGGATAATATAATTGACATTTCTGGATTCCTTGCAGGTCATGGAATATTTTCAATGTAAACTTCATATATTCTGCACAAAGGATAAAATATTTGCTTTGTGTAAACCAAATTATTACACAAGATCTAAAATTTGTATGTCTAATGCAAAATCCATGATGTTTATATTCAAAATGATCATCATATTGTAAGAATTCCAGCAATGTAAATTATATTCTGGCCGGGTAATTTGTATGAATTTTATGAGCTAAATAAAAAACAAAAAAAATTATACTTCACCGCGTATATGAGTAGATGCACCGCGGAAAGTGAAAGTCTGGTTCTGGCAAGGTACAGCGTAAATGAGAAATCGCGGAAAGTGAAACCGTGTAAAGCGGGGTAATACTGTACAAGAAATATCTCTGGGCAATGCCAAAAGTGAACCACACAGTTCAGCCAGACAGATGACTCCGACATGTGTGGTTGCCACACTGCCTGTGTGTATGCCGTGACGTCACATCAGGCTCTGAAGGAGGGAGCGCGGTGCTTGCTAGCTGGGTGACGACATAGCTACAGCAGCCCAATGCCTCCATACATATACATATGTTAATATTCCCAACCATCCAAATGTACACATCTTATGATTTTGCACAAACATATATACAGTATGTAAAGGAGATTATAAAAATAACTAATAAAATAGCTAATAAAAATGTCTAATTTGTGTAAAATTGGGAGACAATCTTTTGCCCTTCTCTTCACTGGATTTAACACTCACTTTAGTCTTGGTGACAATAATATACACGCACACACACTCGGGGAGGGGGAAGGAGAACAAAACAAAACTGGGAGACCACAATAATTTGTGGTGAGACCGAGCAGGAATCTGACTGATCATGGCAAAACAATGATGAGAGCCCACGTGAGTGTTATCGGAAACTGCTTTCATAGCTTAGATGGTGAAGCAAATACTGTACTAGCACAATTTTGTTACGCTAAATCAAACTTTCGCTAAAAGGAATTTTGTTATAAGAAGTGATTACTGTAATTGTTGCAACTCTACTAATACAGGTACCTGTATATCACAAAATATGAAAGCATATGTATTATTTCATCACTTCCCTCAAGATCTCACTTTTAATATCAGACCTAAACCCTTATAAGGTTCACCTCCTACTTTGTCATAACATACCTTATGCTTAGCTAGGAGTTTTCGAGCCACATCTTCATCTTTGCCATAATCTTTGGTTTGCAAAATATTCCTCTTCTCGCTCATCCATGCCTCAATCTCAGTAACCTCAAAGAAGTACTGCTGGGCCTTGTGATTAAGTTCCAATTTCCTGTTGCGCTCATCAGCTTCTGCAATCAAATCATCCCATGCCCCCTGTAGTTCTGCACAACGACTCTCAATCTGTTGTTGGGGATATGTCAACTTAAATTATATTGGATTATAGATGGATTATGTAGTTTTCTTTACATAGGAAAATTTATTTTGAAAGTAAAAAAAAAATAATTCATACACACAGAACTGCTGCCCTCCTGTAGAGCAATGTCATCCTCAGTTGAATATTTGAATTATTTATGCCTACAGTTTATCATGGCAGTCAGTTAAAACAAAAATATATAATTATAACCCAAGACAACTTATGCCTTAAGTAATAAATGCAGATCAGGATATTTAAACAGGAGTCTTCAAATAATTATTAAGATTCTCCTGGACAAACCTTGATAATCCCCTAGCGAAATAATATACAATATCTGGACTCCTGGATATACAGGACTTCAAATCTTACTTATTATATTAAATGAAAAGTTATCCATGTACCGTATCTGTATGTAGTCAGTACTCCATTTCCCTTATTAAATCCTAGTTATCATAATCATTACGGTTTAAGATTATTGTTCATGCTCAAGTTAAAAAAATCCTACTCCTAGCCCATTTTGGTTCAATTTAATTATTTTACCATTGCCTTTTCTGGGTGTCTATCTTCCAGCAGTTTCTTTCCCTTTGCCAGAGTCTTTGTGATTTGAGGCTGATGCCCCTGAATCTCAGCTTTCAGTTTGACATGTTTCTTGTTCAGGGTCTGGGCTTCATGAAGATTCTGTCCCAACACCTGAAATGAGTCATGCATCATTACTAAAATATTAAAAGTAACTATTCACATGATTGCCATATTAAGGATACACAGTATAGTGGTATTTCATATAATTTATCAACCAGTAAGTCATGAAACCTTAAATATAACATGTTTCAAGCATAACCAAATATTAATTTTCTTACAATTAAGAAAATAATAAACAATATTAACTTGACAGTAATTATACAGTCATACTTTTTTAATACATAATTTGTGCACCTCAGAATTCATCTCTCAATATATTTCTCTGTCAATTTATCCATCATACGTAAAATCAGAGTAATGAATAATATATATACAGTAGACCCTTGCCATTCGCGAGTTTGAGATTTGCGGTAAGCAGATGGTGGCTATGGTGGCTAGCTTGCAAGACTTTTCCCGCAACATAACAAGTCACCCCACGCAGCATCTCGTGTTGTACTCTCAAAACTTGAGTGTTTCTGTGTGAAATGGCCCCTAAAAGACTGCCTAGTATCAGTGCTAGTGATGCTAGTGGAGTGAAATGTAAAAGGCAGAAGTCAGTGATAACCCTGACAAAGAAAGTTGAATTATTAGATAAGTTAAAAGAGGGGACGAGTGCTGCCACGGCTGGTTGGTCGTTTGGTATAGGTATTCAACAACAGTGCACTAAGGTACCGTAGTATAAGTAGCTATTAGCAGTTTTGCCTATTTGCGCCATTCCTTGGAACCTAAGCCCTGCGAGTAACAAGGGTTTACTTTTAATGTTACACACTTTGGATGTAGCCAATGCCATGTGTTCCTTGATCCATTGCATTTCAGCATCAAGTTCGAAGTTGAATTCATGCCACCTCATTGACTCTTCAAGGGCAGCACGACGCCGGGCTGCAGGATCCTGAAATTTAATAAAAGCAAGGTTATAAAATACCCAAATAACTAAAATTGGTCATTGGTGGCTAAAATCATTCAGGAATTAGGTAGCACAAATGACCTTGTTATTTTTTCCCAATGGTCGTAAATTAATTTGTTCCTTCAGGTTTCAAAAGTAATATACCAGTTAAGTTTCAATGTGACTGGTGAAAAACTTTTTCTGTTCTAGGGAGGGTAGCCAGGTATAGTATTTGTATGTTAAGATCTCCTCCCAAGCCTTAGCATTCAGCCACTAGATGGTTACCCCATCTCCTTGGCAGAATGCTATCACACCAAATTGTTACCCAATTTGAGTGCACGTGTAAACATTCTAGCAATATACTATAGTCTTACCCCAGTGCCCAGAACAATTCCGGGGAAGTGGGATTTTTCCAGGGATGAGAAAATCGTCTCAATATACGGAAATCTCTCATTCCCAGAAGGAACCCTTGACATGGTCTTTATGCTATTTCACCATAATTCTCAAAATACTTAGGTTCATTTGGTGCCAGGTTGATAAAATACTATAGTAAAATAATCAATTTTCCCCAAAAAAGAATCCCACACTCAAACCTAGACGAGTCATTGCGTCGTATTAAATTCCTAGTCGTTTGTTTACAAAGCACAGAGGTGATCGTCCTAACTTCCTCACCAGCTGACCACAACATCTGTCTTCAGCACTTAGTAAATAGTACTGTAGTGTATTTATCAGCAGTTAGTAAATAATATTGTGGTTTATAATTCATCTGCATATTCCCTGGTTTATTCATTAATCAGTTCTATAAATGTACAAGTAGCCAAATCAAGCCATCATGCATCATTCAAAGGTAATAAATAACATTGTTAGGAAGATATATCCATATCAAATACTATACGGTACCATGTGTTATAGTTACCCTTTGTAACCTGATTTGCTGAAAGCTCTCACCTTCCAATACAGCTTATCCTTTTATTTTCAAGTCAATTTACATTTTATATATTGCATTTGTTTCCTAATACTGTATTAGATGTTACATTAATTATAATGATTCACACACCATAAGAGGCTGATCATACGAGAATATAATATTGAATTGATAAATAAATCTGGTGAAAGCAGCAATGCCCTCTCTCCCCCTCCTGCCACCCCCAGCCTGATTACATGCAGTGTCTTAGTTTTCATACTTAATAGCTTTTGCAAGACCTACAGCAAACCCCATTAAAGACAATATATACTCTACATAAAAAGTCAAGTTCAATGGATGTAAGTAGCTAGATGAGGGCAATGATATGATACATATGAAGGCTGGACTCGGAATGAGACATGTGCCGCATGACACACACATGCACAGAAAGTCAACCACATTAAGTGTCTGGACTGATGCTGGATTTTCCAGACCTTTCTAAATATTTCTAGTGAATAGAGGGGCGGTAGATATATGTCAAGTTTCTTCAGTTTCTATTTACTCTTTTACATGCACACACCATACTATGTAGATATTGTGAAAAAAAATAAAAAATACTTCCCATAATGTCAAAACAAAGGAAATAAAAAAAATTTTGTAAGCTAGTATGGGCTCTCTCAGCTGCTCAGAGATATCCCCCGTGTTGGGAAACGAATGAAAAATATTTTGACGTTCAACAGCGAGAGTATTAACCCTTAGGCCCTGGGTGACGTTCCAGAATGTCCGCCTATTTTCCCGCAATTTTTTTTTTATTATTATTATTTTTGGAAAAAAAAAATTTTTCCTTGATGATGGGGGGGGGGTTACTGCCAGCAGCACCCTTACCCAGGGCTTATGGATTAAAGAAGCAATACAGTAGCAGAACATTAAAAAATCATTATATATAAAATATTTACAACAGCAGAAGGACATCACATTAAAAACAATCTAAAAATAATCATGGGCGACACCAGTGCTGCCATCTTGCGAAGCGACATGGGGGGGAAACTTTCACTCGTTTGTACTCGGCTATTCGCTCACAACACTGATCCTTGGCAGTTAGCAGCTACTGTAATACTGTTTACACACAAACCTCTCTGTATATATAGCCATATGCTAGGATTTTACACTTGTAAAAAAGTTAAAATTTGTTTAATAAAAGTTTCTTAAAATGCACAATCATCATAACTACAACCAGTGTTATAAAATAAAAACTGATTATATGAATATAATAATAATGCTTGAGTAGAAAAAACTTATGAATAGTAATGCTTGAATAGAAAAAATTTGTGTATGTGTTCTGAGTGAGTATAAGCATTTACTGCTCAATGTTTAATTATATTAAGATGTTTCATAACCACAAAAGGGTCAAGACGTACCTGGCGCTCTTCTCGGAGCAGCCAGGTCAACTGTTAAGTTGGCCCATACCAACCCCTTCCCCTGAACCCTCCTCCCCACCGGAATATCAACAAGTTCTCGCCAGAAGTTACTATTTCATTTAGGAAAGGAATGGAACCAGTGTTAAACAGAGGTGAACAGTGGAGAACAGTGCTTAAGTCAGTGAGAACAACTCAACAGTAACAGTCGTACCCAAGTTAACCTTCTCACAGTGAGGTCCCAGGTACCCAGTGATAACGGCCCGTGATAACCAGCGATGTGTTAATCCGTCTACGATAGGAAGGCCTGGGACCAAACCTCACTCATATAACACCATCTGTGAGGGAATTACTACACCACGTGAGGACCCTCATAACACCATCTGTGAAGGAATTACTACACCACGTGAGGCCCCCTCATAACACCATCTGTGAGGGAATTACTACACCACGTCAGGTCCCTCATAACACCATCTGTGAGGGAATTACCAAACCACGTCAGGTCCCTAATAACACCATCTGTGAGGGAATTACTACACCACGTGGTCCCTCATAACACCATCTGCGAGGGAATTACTACACCACATCAGGTCCCTCATAACACCATCTGAGGGAACCACTACATCACGTGAGGTCCCTCCTAACACCATCTGGGGAGTGAGTTACTACACTACGTATTTGCTGTTCAACACGTACAATCCTACATTAATCTGTATGTTCACTGTATGTTCCTTTACCTTTCTCTAATGAAGGCTTTTGTTAAACCACCAATGTATGTAATAAGTCATTTATGTCCAATGTATATTTTCAGCCTTCGGGCTGCAGAACTTTTTCAATAAACCGTCAATTATTATTATTATTATTATTATTATTATTATTATTAAACACGATAGAGGCAGCAGCCACTGAGCAAACTCCAGCCAGTTTTTCCAATTCATTTATTGTTGAGGATGAAGTGATTTTCACTTAGTAATTCCCTTATTGGTTTCACTCTCAATATAAAAGACAAAATTTCCCAACGTTGCCTTTACTTATGTCATGCAATATACTGTTGTATTTTCAACACCATATTCCTCTCAAAGGAAAAGAACAGACACCCTTATCAATATTTCCACTTTCTGCAATACTGTAAGCATAACGTGCTTCATTTTTTGCAGCACTATCTCTTCGTTGCTTAAGAGATGCCAATAAAAAAAATTATTTCTTATATCAAAATGAATATGAATATGAACACGTGTTTTAAGTGACAGCGCGTGACCCAGGCTGACCCAGAAAAACGAGTGAGTGGTACTTGGCGTGATTTTAGCGAGTCACACATGGTGGGACTTGTAGAAAAAAAATTAGAACAGTAGAATCATGCTGAAGAAAAATTTTACTCTCATTCACTCTGATTCTTTAAGCCAGGAAGTGTCAAGTCATCAATGCAATACACAGGACAACATTAAGAATTTACCAAGCAAAATATGGAGCTTTACTGCTGGAACTCTTCACATTTCAAAATATGGATAGTTGTGAAATATCTGCAAACACATTAACAAGCACAATGGTGAGGTAGCACTAAGAAAAATGGCTAAAAAAAAATTGCATCATAAAGAAAACTGACTAAAATAGATTTAAAAGCAATAATGAAAATTAACTCACCTTCAGTTTTTTAAATCTATTCTTTGCAGACAAGCATGATGCTTTGATATTGTCAGCATCAAAGTGATTTTCTTGTACCATTTGGTCACCAGCAGCACACATTTCACTGATCTTTCTTTCCATGGTATGCATATCATTCTCTACATTCTGCTGTTTATTCGTGAGGTCCTTACAAGAACGAAGGTCCGACCCAACATCCTTGTTCTTTAGAGCAGATTCAAGGGCATCTAAGTTCTTCTCAGTCTCTTCCAAATTTTTATTATACACATGCTGGTTGTTGGCTTGATGAAGCTTCATCCCTTTATCCTCTGTCTTTAAGCAAAGATCTTTCCACTTCTTATTTAGGTCATCTACAGTCTTTTTAATATCGTCAGATTGATAATGTTTCATGCTTATTAAATCTTGACCGGTCTTGTTGAGACGCCGTAACTGGCCTTCATTAGCATGAAGTTCCCTTTCAAAGGCTTCATGTTTTTGCATTTTCCTCTCCAGATTACTGAGATCTCTGTAAGATTCATCATCTGCCAACTTCTTTTTATCTGCCATCCATTTTTCAAAATCATCTGCATCTGCTTTAAACTGCTGATAAGCCGTGGAGCCATTAAGATGTTCTCGTCTAGCTTGAGCTCGCATCTTAACAGCCGCTCGTCGATCACGTACCTGAAAGATTTATAACAAAATTAATGAATAAAAAATTGATTATGAAAAGAAATAAAATACTCTATATTTCTTGTCTTAAATTATGGATCTTGTAATAATTATATTAAATATGAAATGAACTTCTACAATATATTAAATGATTGTAAATAACAGTACCAGGATAAGAGACAGAATGTCAACTTTTGTTACCGATACAAGTGTATACTGTAATGTCCATTGGGAAAAAAGGACAAAAAAATTATAAAACAGAGCTCTAAGAATTAGAAATGTTTAATATATTGGCACAGCAACTCAATTGGTTGTCATCAATATTAGAGGAATTATTTCAGTATAATATGAATCCTTTCTTCATAACTTCCAGGCACAAATAATTAGATAATGAAACATGATCTATAACCTGAACCAATGCAATAAACTTAAACACCAATAATATTTTACAATAAGGAGAAATGTGGGATGGCTTGCAATTTTCACTCCTTTGTCTTTATTTACTTAATACGGAGTTGGCATAAACAAGAGCAACTCCACACTCATTTTCCTATTAAAAATTATTTAATGGTATGCTCTCCACTCATTCAACAACACTGCTGCTTTTTGGATGCTCATCTCCCTTACTTTTAATGCATCCTTCACCACATCCTTCCATCTCCACTTTTGGTCAGAATTATGCTCTACTTTTCAACCATAACTCCCTATTATTTCAATATACTGTATACATATCCCCAGAGCATGCCAAAATTTCATCCACTTTCCACATCTTCCTTATTTCTGTACTCTCGATTCTTTTCATCCTTTTTACCCTATATGTTCCTATTAGGCACACTATTCTATCACACCTCTACTATTCATTTCCTTGCATACCAAGTCCATACATAAAGACTGAAACCCATAGGTTCATCAAAACATCTCCTGTATCTCCACTCCTTGACAATACATACATGTGTGTGTGTGTGTGTGTGTGTGTGTGTGTGTGTAAAAATCACACTAGACTAAATTCCAGTTATATTTTAGCAGGTGTCTGTGTGCAACCAGCCATGCATTGAGAAAGAAAAAAGAAAGAGATGGTTAGTCATACCTGATCTCTACGTTCATTAATATACTTAGCATCATAATGCTCGGCAGCAATCAGCTTATCCGCCATTTCACTGAATGTTCTTAGTCTTTCATCCTGTGCCATCAATGTATTCTCAAAATCATCATGACGTTTCATCAGGGCTTCCACATCATCCAGGGTGCACTGTTTAAATGAAAATATGTAAAAAAGATAAATACTTTGAAATCTAATATATAAATAAAAATACTAACTTATTCAAATTTCTAAATGTTTCTTATAATATTGCTTAAATATCAATAAATTTTACTCATAAGCAATATTACCTTCAAACAAATATTACTACACTTTGTATTGTATTTGATATGAAAGCAACAAGAATACAACACTAACCCCAAGGTCCTTATAGTCAAGGAAAGTTTCATGAGAACTTGTCGCTGCATCTATTTGGTCAGCTTCTCTGTTAAAGAGTTGCAGGTCCATACACTGTCTCAACCAGTCCCCTTTCTCCTGCCAGCCACGATGTATAGCTCGCTGTTCTTCTCCTAATAGTGCCATCTGTTCACAAGAGATTATGTAAAATTCAAAATATGCAACAACCTCTTTAAATAAATATCTTCACCAGTAAGCTTTTCTATCATTATGTGATACAATTGCCTTTTTAAAAAATGTTTACCCAATGATTGTCTATTTCTAAAATCCTCATTTTTGCTAAATCAAGCTTTTTCTTTATACACATTTACCTGCACATTCTCAAGGATGCTACTTTAAATATACTAGATTCATATCAATATCAATTCATATTTTACTGCAAGCAATAATAAACTCAATTAACTCATTAGGTTATTACATTTGGCAGATCACCACAAGTAACAACAAAAAACAATGAAGGTGGAAGAGTGCAGTAAGGTAGGGTTTGGCACGGTCGTATTAAATCCCTTACAAGTAATACTTGTACAATATCTAATGTACCTTTTCTTGCACTTCACTAAAGTCTGGATTCCTCTTGACAAGTTTTTCTCCTAACTGACTGAGCTCACTGAATTCATCCTGGTGAGCCCTGATATCATCTCCAAGATCTTGGTGACTCTTGAGGAGATGCTCTGCGGTGGTGACATCACGAGCAGGCTCGTCAGAATTCAGAGCATTTTTGACATCACCAACCCAGTTTAGAAGACTCTGAAAAAGGAAGAAAAAGATATCAGACTAAGCATATTTAAACTACATCAATGAGTAGCATCAGCATCTAAACTGACAGCAAATAAATGAGCCTTTACAAGTTAAATACCCGGTACGTATATTGGTACGATATGTATTTTCTTTCTAATGAAGAGTGATGTGTGCTATATTTATAAGGAAATTCTGCTTAATAGGTAAACAATAAGCACACAAAAAACTCATTCCCATTGATTATCATTATTATTGATTTTTTTTTTTACCAGTATATCTTAACATATTTACCATATTGAATAAAAATACAGTAATACCCCGCTTTACGCGGTTCTGGTTTACGTGTTTCTACATTTACGGGGTACCCCGCCAGAACCGGAATTGCCGCTTCACGCGGTGCATCTACTCCTGTACATAGAGAGTGGCTGGCGGTCTTCTCGCGCCACGCCATTTTTGGATTCAAACCTTCCGCCATCTCTCCTGCCATGTTGGGTAAGCGGCGCGAGTAGGTTGCGCAGTGTATGTTTTTGTTGCGTTATCGGTGACGTCATATGACGTATAGGACTGTGATTGGGCCACGCTTCCTTACCTCCCTCCCCGCTAGCTGTGATTGGTTTAATCTATTATGACGTGCCCTGCCACGGGAGGGATGAAGCCCCTTGATCTACCAGCGTCAGTTACACCCCTTCCAGCCACACCGTGTATATCGGTATCTATTGTTCGATAAGAATGGCTGCCATCGGACCACCACCACCACCACCACCACATAAAAACCTTGCATTACCTGGACCCAGCCGCCCTAAGCCAAAGAAGATACGATGTGCCCTAAGCCACGAGGTGAAGTACAAGATCATCCAAGAGTTGGAGAAAGGAACAAGACAGGTTGATTTGGAGCGCCAGCAAAGTGTGAACGAATCTACGATCCAGATGATAAAGAAGGATGCAGCCAAGATAAAAGAACACCTGAACAACACAAAGTCTGCAGGTGCTTCAATGATCAAGTATAGCCACAACAAGGTGCTTCTCAAGACGGAGAATTTACTTATGAGCTACTTGATTCGTCAGGCAAGACGGAACATGGCGGTCGACACGCGCTCAGTTCAGGAGTACGCACGTGAACTGTACGCAGCAGTGTCACGTAAGATGGGAATTGCAGAGTCCAAACCCTTCAATGCTTCCTCTGGGTGGTTGCACAGGTTTAAGAGGAGGAACAAGATCACCAACAATAACACTGGTGGTGAAGAAGCGAGTGCTGACCGTGTTGCGGCTAGGGATTTTCCTTCGTTCTTACGTGAGATTATGGAGGAAAGACAGTACACCGACGACCAGGTGTTCAACATGGACGAATCCGGTCTGTTTAAGAAAAAGCTACCTTCCAAGACCTTTGTTGTCAAGTCTGCCAGCAAGTGTCGGGGCCGGAAGTTGCAGAAGGAGCGCATCACCGCCCTCTTTACCACCAATGCCTCCGGTTCCTGTAAACTCAAGTTATCGGTGATCCACACAGCCCACAAGCCACACGCCTACAAGAACATGGACATGACCAAGCTAAATGTCCACTGGCTGACCGCACATAAGGCGTGGATGTTCTCTACTCTGTCCCTTTCCTGGTTTGATGACTGTTTCGTTCCCGACGTGAAGAAATTCTGTGAGCAACAGAATGTTCCATTCACGATTTTGTTGCTGCTTGACAACGCACCAGGACACTCGCCCCTACTGTTAGACCGTCACCCCAACGTAAAAGTGGTCTTCCTTCCTCTCAACGGAACATCATTAATCCAACCCATGGACCAAGAATTAATCTGCAATGTGAAAGCTGCATTCTCTGCAAAGAAGTTTAATCTCCTGAACAACTATACCAGCACCAAGGATGAGTTGCGTAACCTGGGTGACTTCTTGGTGGAGGCATGGGATCAGCTGTCTGTAGCAACGGTTCGTCACGCATGGAGACATGTGTTGCAAGGTATCCCAGGTGGGAGGCAGTCAACCTGTGACTGGTGTGGTTCAGACTGTTGCAGTAGCAGTGGACCTTGCCAAAGAAGCTGCGCAGTGTTACTGCTGCAGACTTCTCCGAGACCACCAACGACGACATTATGGAGGTGATAAGGGATCCTGATGTGACTGACGACGCGATGTTAGAAGACGATCACGTCAGTGAAGAGACAGGCAGTGCATCATCCAGAGAAGAACACAAGTTATCGCATCGTAATGTAAGGGGTGCCATCGAGTGTGTAGAGAAACTGAAGCTCCTCCTTTCCGACGACCCTGATGATAACCGATATGAAGTCTTCACTACCCAGCTGTTGCAGACTATGGAGCCCTACATCAAGGTGTATCCCGACAACATCAACACTAGCCGTCAACAAAGCATTACCGAGTTCTTCGCCAGTAACCCACCACAGCCAACCCAAGCCAGTGATAGTGACAGAGACAGAGACAGTGATGGTGACTGAGGGATTTGTCAGGGAGGCCCTGACAAGTGTGGATGACAGTGATGGTGACTCACCTGAGGGCCAGTAGCCTGCCCTCTGCCTCGGAAACAGCCTCCATTCCCGTACGCCGACCCATCTCTTCTACTAACGTAAGTGTTAAACCTAACCTTGATTTTTCCAAACATAACCTAACCTTACGTAAGTGGTAAACGTTAATTTTTCTAACCTAACCTAACCTTAGGTTAGTGTTAAACCTTGATTTTTTTTTAAAACATAACCTAACCTTTATTTTTTCTAACCTAACCTAACCTACCATGACGTAAGTGTTAAACCTTGATTTTTCTTTTACCTGGTACAGTATATTATTCTCTTATTGATATTTCTCTTCTATATTATGTGTGTGTGCATACCATCATAAAGCTAAGATGTTATTTTTACTAAAACGTACGTATTGTGTCGGGAAAAAGTGGAGTTTGGGGGTCGACCCAGTCTGTATTTCAATTAATCTCATATGTTGTTGTTCAATTTATGTGTTTCCCACTTTACGCGGGCCTCCGTGGGTTCAATTGACCGCGTAAAGCGGGGTTATACTGTATATAATATTTTAATTAAAACCAATAGTTTCAGGGTAACATTTTCTAACCTAGGTAGGATCTGTTGGAACCTAACCCATGGTTTGTGTGGTATTTACAATAATTGTTTTATAGAATAAATTAAATCAAAAGTAAAAATAATGTACAGCATCACTAAGTTTATAAGTGCCTTGTAAGTTCAAATTAAGTTATATCATTATGAAAATATACTAGAATTTATTCTTAAGCAAAACAATTAAATACTAATACCTGTATTACAATGTAGAGTCAAACAAACATTGTCTCCACAATGCAAATTTACAATTTGTCACCTATGTTCACAGAGGAGACAATTTAAATATTTGTCAACTCAAATTTCAAAAATCTGAGAAAAAGAATCTTACCTTAGCAGAGTTGAGGAAAATTTGCTGGCCAACAGCTTCCTCAAGACGGTTTCGCCTTTCTACAGCTTTACCCTTCAACTGCCCCCAATACTGCTGTACTTCTTCTTGCCTCTCCTCTACAGCATGTTTCTCACGTGGATACGAAGCTTTTACCGAATCAGCAAGCAGGTTAACACGCCGTACCTGTGGCAAAAGATCAATAAAATAAATAAAAGCAAGATAATTTTCCCTTTTACATGGTGTATTTTATGTATTGTATGTATAATCATAATACACAATTGCATACAAACACTAGTGTACCGTATAGACACGCATATCTTTGTGCCAACATATGTACTGTATAGACGTGTGGATACAGTGAACCCTCGAAGATCCGGACTAAAAGGGGGGACCACCTATCCGGAAAAGCTGATTGTCCGGATTTTCCAATGATTAATAAATGATATAAGAAACACCAAAAATAAAGTACTTATGTCGTAATAAACAAATTACCGTACAGTATATAAACCATGCATTTACCTATAATAACATAATAAGAAACATTGTATCATAACTAGAGTGAATTAAATTATATTCCCACAAACAACAATAGTCAACTCTATGCTTCCCACCTCCTCAGGCACGTGTGTCCAAGCAACTGACGGGTCAAGCAGCGCCCACAGGCCTAAATTGTTCTTTGCTCTGGTTTGGGATTGTTTCTCAGGGAAACTTCTAGGAGGCTTCTTAGCCCAGAACCCCCAAATTTTTTATCCGGATTTCCCGGGTCTGGATCTTTGAGGGTTTACTGTAGTAAGAGTTTTTAATACCAAATTTTTAGGGAAAAAGTATTTGGGTTTGGAGTTGACTTAGATGTGAGTAATACTTTCAAGGGGGTTTAAATCCATATGTCTTGGGACAAAACTGTCATACTGTATTACAATAATACCTCAGTTTACACGGGTTTCGTTTAAGCGTTTTGTCATTTACGCGGTACCCTGCCAGAACCGGAATGCCCAATTTACACGGTGCATCTACTCATATACGCGGAGAGCGGCAATGCCGCGCCACCATTTTTTTATTCAAACTTTGATTTTTTCTAACTTGACCTAACATTACAAAAGTGTTAAACCTTGATTTTTTTCTAACCTAACCTAACCTGACGTAAGTGTTAAACCTTGATTTTTCTTTAACGTGGTACAGTATATTATTCTCTTATTGACATTTCTCTTCTATATTATGTGTGTGTGCATTCCATCATAAAGTTAAGATACTATTTTTACTACAACATAGGTATTGTGTCTGAAAAAGTGGAGTTTGGGGGTCGGCCCAGTCTCTATTTCAATTAATCCCATATGTTCTGTTATTCCATTTAAGCGTTTCTCGTTTTACGCGCTACTCCTCGGGTTCAATTGACCGCGTAAATCGGGGTATTACTGTACAATATGAAAAATACTAATTACCATAGCTTATAAATCTTTTTCAATACATGTAAGTTGACATCTTGTTCCAGCAGTAATATCATCATCTTGTGCAATTTGGGAGTTAATTTTAGTCAAATTAATCCAAAGAATAGAGAAGGTAACTTATACCAGATGCTGCATAGTGTCACATGAAATCCTAAAATGTAATGCCATCATGTTTCAGTGCTGGTTGATGGTTCCAATACGGAATTTTGAAAGCTTGACAGTTCTTTGTCAGTAAATTTTAGACTCTGCTTTGCTGCTCTCTTGAAAAGAATAGTCTATGAGGTAGCAAATGTTTTGTGAAATAGATAGCAAAAGAGGACAGGTACATTATTTTTTATTCTCTATACTCTAATAAACTTTGTTTAGCGATCTATTTTACTGAACATTAGCCACCACATACACTATTTTTTTTAAGAAACTAGAAAGAAAAGTACATTACTAATTTTGTTACATAAGAAAAACGATGTTCAAGTGAGTTTGTGTGAATGTGAAAGCAAAATTTTACAGTCTACTGGTAATCAGGATATGTTTGCAAAAAGCTGGGGGCCAATTTATTGACAAGATGACTAATACACATGCATATATGGTAAGTATAAATGTAGACAAGCAGTTGTGGTGTAGATGAAGATAATCTTCTTCTCTTCAATTTTTAATTTCTTTTTACTCTTATTTCATTCATCATACACAAAAAAATAAGTAAATCAGTTGGCCATGCAAAACTTTCTTTTTAAATGAGGGTTATTTCCCAATTAGTACGGTATATTTGGAACATATAAACTGAACTTTCCAGAATTTAGGTAAATAACAAAAATAAATAATAAGATAAATACCTTCTCCTCCACTGGCGCCAATTCTCTCTCTAGCTGATCATGTTTACGTTGGAGAGACTGAACAGTTTTTAAATCTCTGCCCAGTTCATCCGTATCCAACTTTTCCATCTTCTCCACCATCCAGTCCCTCGTTTCATCACAAGTGCGATGGAACAATTCCACGCTAGATGCTCCCTCCAAGCTACGTTCTTTTTGTTGCTTCAGGCGATTAATGTGAGCCCACTGGTCATGAATTTGTTTTTGTCGTACTTTGATTTTTTCCAGTTGACTGTGACCCGTGGCCTCAAAGTCCTTAACCATTTTATCAATAACCTCAATCCTCCTACTTGCTGCTGACAAGTCTGTGAGGAATTTTTCAAACTTTTGCTTTGCTGTTTCGACATCGTCATCCTTCTCATCCTTTTTCAGAAGTTTCTCTTTTTCTCTCATCCAAGTTTCAAAACCGTGGCACTCGCTCAGGAAGGAGAAGAGCGTAATGGATTCTTCCAAGTACAAGTGGCGCTTCTGGGCAAGCTCACGCAAGTCACCATAGGATGAATTAATGGCCTGCAAACGTTTTTCAACGGTCTCTGGTTCGTCAAATCCTCGTTTATTTCGAGCTGCATATGAAAAGATAACATATTACAAAAAGAACAGACCAAAATGTTATGTGAATAGTTTGTGCTGTTTAAATTCATTGTTACTTTTCCTTCCTTACAGCATCAAACAAATTTTATCAAGAAAAAGTTACAAATAATTATCAATTATTTAGACTAATAAACCCACAAAGTTCACACTCAATGTATCTATACACACAACCCTGCAATACTTATATTCCCTAACTATTTAACAAAAAAGTTAATATCAAAACATCTTGTTTTCAATATTCTCGAATGTGAAATGATTATTTTATCTTCTGGCAACAAGATATTTAGATATCACCGTAATCATTTTGTCAAGCAATAGGACAAGAAAGTCTTCAAGGTGGGATGGAGTTTCAAAAATATTTATTAAGAAATTGGAACAAAATAAGGCAGGGGGATTGGATTTCTGTAGGTAATGGATTCATTCATTCACTCCTGCAGTAAAACAAATTAGCTGTCACTTTTAGTCTCAGAGGAGGATAAACTTGTTAAATTAAAAAGTGATCCAACTTTGAAAGAATTATTTAATAGACTGCTTTTAGATACTTTCTGAATTGAAGTGAGGACAGAATATAAACAACTTATGAAATAGTTATTTAGAGATTGATATTATTTTTGGCATACCGCAGGTGTTTATGAACAAGCAATCTCAGGTACTGTACTACTTCAACATTACCTTAAGAATTGACATGCATGCCACTGAAATGCAACCACAGGCTTCTTACTTGTGACTCATTATGATTTTTACAATTTAGCAGTAAAGCTTATCCTCAGTCAAATCATTGGAATTTTTAGTATCTTTAAAAAATTCCCTATAATGGTTACTACACAGTATTACTAAAATGCATACAAACTAAAAAAATTACACTCCTTGGGAAAAATTTAGTTTTGTTTCTATCATGGTGGGACCTGGGTTTGACAAATTGGTTGGTGAATTTCAATTTAATTTCCTTTTCTGTTTGCAAGTCCTACAATAGAATTTTGCTTCCACAATAAGGCCTGTCTAGCTCTTCCTTACTTACCTTTTTCTCTCTTATTTTCAAACTTATCCTTTCCCCAAACCCAAGACATGATAATTACACGTCTCTCTCATAATATTCAGTAGCTGCCCAAAATATTCTCTACTTCTGACATTTACTTCCACTGTTTTCCACAACTGTCATTTCTAATTGTTTTCCTTGCTTTTTCACCCTAATTCCTTACAAAACAGCTTTTATGTATATAGAAGCAATATGCATTCATGAAATATGAACTTACGAGGTGCCTTGGGCTTCCTCCTCTTGACTGTCTCGGTTTTCTTCACCATCCTGGTCTTTGGCACCATTCGTTTTTCTGGAACCTTAACTTCCTTCTTCACACGAACATTAATTTTCTTTGGTTCACTTTCCCTAACATAATTGGCCGGAACAAAACCTTCATCTCCATTAGCTTTACGAACATTCCACCAATCATTGTTGGTTTTGCTGAGCAGGAACATTGTCTGCAAATATTATAGATAATTATAGCATTAATATTATTGGTAATGAATGAAAAATCACAACATTCATTGTCTTTATGATTATAAAATTTTAAACAATTTCATTTAATACACAAAAAAAATCTTACCTCCCCCTTCCCCATCTGCATGCCCTGACCCTGGAATGGGTATCTGGCTATGACAGTAGGATATTCTCGTTGTTCAGTTACACTGACCTCTTCGACTTTTTCCATAGTCTCCTCGACCATTACCTCCTGTGGGACCATTTTCACTTCATCCACCCACTCATATTCCTCCTCTTCTGATACACTCTGTTGCTGTGATGTTAACTACAGAGACAAGAAGTGTTATGACCAATTATCATTTATAACAAGGTTAAAATCTTTTATTTATTTATCATGTAATTAAATGCTAAAATCCTTTGCACCATTTCTCACAAATTGTAAGTTGGTGACCACCAGGCATTAAAAGTTAGTTCAGCCTAAGGCACTGACAAGGCTGGTGACCAGCTCAGCTGAATGGCACCCCATCAAACCCTGTCTAGCCATGGGATTCAACCTATGTCTCAAGGGTTGGAATTTCAGATCACATAACTGAAGAATTAATAATTTACACATTTACAAGGCAACTTTAATTAGCACCTAAGACAACAAAATAGGTAATGTGGTCAATGTACCAGTTTTTTGCAAATGTATAAAATGTACTGTAGTTACATTCCCTCAGTGACTTAATAGTTAACCAATTCTTATTCTTAGGTAAATCTTACAAAATAAACAATAACTGATGCATACTAATATAATGTAGCAATAAATGTGAAAGAAACCATTCACAAATGATCAATAACAATTAAAGCTGCTTTTGTAATACCTTAACAGAAATACACATTTCAACCTACATTTAGGGCAGATATTCCTGATTTGATGAGTTTTTGTCCCTGGTTATTAACTGCCATTATGTCTCCCTCATAGGCCTTGATTTCTCCTTCCAGTCGAGCATGAAGCTGCAGGAGGGCTAAGCCACTTGGTTCATCCTCACCATAGTCCTTTGACTGGCACAGAGGTAGCTTTTCCTTGATCCAAGACTCTGCTTCATTGGCATCAGCATTAAACTAGAAATAACAATAATAATAATAATAATAATAATAAAATATATATATATATATATATATATATATATATATATATATATATATATATATATATATATATATATATATATATATATATATATATATATATATATATATATATATATACACATTTATATATATATATATATATATATATATATATATATATTATATATACACACACACACACAAGGGGTATGCTATTTGAATGGATTCTACTAATATTCCTATAATGAGCGGTTTTACCTATAAAATTGAGAATGCTATAACGAAACTAAACTCCTACAATCATTAATTTTTTTTTACTAATTTATTGTTATTACAAGTATTAATGATATTCTTTTATTTCAGGGTTTAGATGCATATTTAAGCACTTTTTACAATTTTTCAATTTTATATTATATTTTCAGTGTTAAGTGGTTGTATTTGGGCCTGGGAACGGATTAATCCTATAACTAGCTAATGCTATAACGCAAGGTTCTAGAACCAATTATATTACGTTAATGACCTAACCCTTAATATATATGCATGCAGTATATATATATATATATATATATATATATATATATATATATATATATATATTTATATATATATATATATTTATATATATATATATATTATATATATATATACTCTCTCTCTCTCTCTCTATATATGTATACATGCTCTCTTTAAGTCTATAACCCCGTATATAGAGTGGGCCGATTTTATGACCAAGAAATGCGTTAATTTATCAATATTCCTCGTTTATAAGTCGACCCAAAGTTTTTTGGGGTAATGGAACAACAAAACCTTCAGAAAAACTCATTCTCTGCAGCTTGTTTACCATTTATTATTACGACACTTTACACTGAAAGCATAGGTAGTTTCCAGCAAAAATATTGTATATTTGCCCATTCAGTATTTATTCAAATTAATTAGGAGAATATTATTTGTAATAACAGTTTTTTAACTAAACCATTGGCGATTACGGTAACATCTTTTGAGCGAAAGCGAGAGTCATTGTTTTTCGTCACGATTTTATCCACTTTCACTGTGTCGTCGTGTTTCAGGAAAAATTTTACATTTCGTGAATGTAGTATATCAAGCACAGTATGAATAGAATATCATTGTAATATAACAGAATTTTAACCGAAAACTATTAAAAAAGCGAATAACATCTCAAGAACATCGGGCTTAGGTGCGAGTCTTTTACATTTCGTCATGTATTTTATCCTATTTTTACATTGAAATACATCACGTTTCAACAAAACTTCTTATTTATTTCCGAGAATATATTCATTCAGGCACAGTTTAGGTAAAATATCATTAATGATGTAATAGTTTTTTTTTTAACTGGCGATTCGAAAAACACGTTCCTCTAGCCCTGTTCAAAGAGAGGACTGGGAGAAGCTGTTTGGTGCTGCAGGCGATGACCGAGAAAATAGTTTTGATGGATTTTAATGAAAATATTCAGGGCTATGGTATCGTAATATTTATTCAAGTCAATTAGGATATTATTGTAATACAATACAACAGTTTTTTAACTAAACCATTGAAAGTGATTCACGGTAACATCTTTTTGAGCAGAAACAAAGCGAAAGTCATTGTTTTCATCACAATTTTATCCGCTTTCCACTGTGTCATTATGTCATTTCAGCGAAATCTTACACATTTCCGTGAAGGTATTATATCAACCACAGTATGAATAAGAATATCACTAATATAACAGTATTTTAACGAAAACTATTAAAAATCAGGTAACATATCTTGAACATCAATTAGAGTAAAGTCTTTTGTTTTTCATGTGAACTTATCCTAATTTACATTGAAATACATCCATTTCTTAGCTACTATTTATTTCTGAGAATAATAAAATGTAATATTTTTTGCTACTGAAATGACGTCTACCGTGAAAAGTAGGATAAATAAACCACAAAAACAATATTTCGCTTTCTTTAGATTCACAAGATATTACAAAACTGTCATACCCTGAATGGTTTCAGTTAAAAAGCTTATTATATTAATAATATTCTATCTAATTCACTACAATGATGTAAGTGTAACTGAAAAGCGATTCGAAAAACGTGTGCCGTCTAGCTGATACGGCAGAGCCCTGGTGGAAGTGGAGGCTTTGTGTTTGCATCGACGCCTTAACAACTTTTCAGGCACAAGCGTCACGTTGAAATTGTGTTTACCGGTGTATTTCTTTATTTTCTTGCTTCTTATTTTTCCAAAAGTATGACAAGTTTTTATATAATACAATGTTCACGGTACTTTTTAATTTACAAGTATTCATTTTTAAAAAAAATACAAGACACCAAGCAAATACTAATGCAGGATATATTTAGTGACTCTCCCTTAAAAAAGACCAAACAGCTGGTACTCTCTCCCTCAGCCTACAAAAATAGCCCAACATCTTTCTTGTTTTATTCTCTACTCTTCCAATTTCACTTCTTTGTTATTTTTACTTCTTCTTACCTGCATCAGAATGTAATTGAGGTTTAGATATTATAAAATTGGAATTACCGGGTCCTGGCAGAGTGCATTGAACCACCTGACCCTACCAACAGTGTTTACCAAGTCAAGACCCAGCATTTTTTTTTTTTCACATTTTGGTGTCTCCATTTGTTAATTTTTTTTTCACAGCCGGGGTTTGCACAATAGTATGCTGTTTTACCTACAGTATTGTAAAACGATTTTGAAGAGAAAAAGAAAATACTTTCGATGCTCCATTTAAAGAAAATTTTAGAAACTGACAACTATTAGCCAGATGACTGACTCATCATATTGATGTTTTCAAATTTAATTAACAAAAATTTATGTATCTATAAAATAAACTTTTAAAAATGAATACTATGTTTACATACTCCTGTGCATATATACCATGCATTTAGCTACTGGGCTTGCTATGATATTTGTAAAGATCTGCCTAACATGTGCCGACACTCACAGCGGTGAGTGCTGATTGATTACTCTAAGTTTCCATTGTTTACTAGTAGTTACTAGTAAAGAATTTTTTTCAACCTATGAAACTATTACCATTATAGAATTAGGCCCCCAACTTTTTAAAATTTGGTCTGAAACTAAATGCCTCTACGGGTATGTCACAGTATATATATATATATGCTGTATGTGTATATATAAATGTATGTAATATGTGTATGTATGTATGTATAAATATATATATATATATATATATATATATATATATTATATATACATATACAGTCAACCCTTTCGCAGTACCTGCGAACCTGAATGCTCACTCACGCCGTGTAGTACCCACACGCATGAAAGCGGCTGAAAATGGTGCGCTAAGGTTGCCCAGTTATCAAAACATTACCGAGTTCTTCACCCGCCACCCACCACAGCGCCCAAGTCAGTGATAGTGATAATGATAGTGAGGATATGGACTTTGAGGGTTTTGACAAAGAGGCCCTGCAAGCCTCTGTGGTGGATAGTGATACAATTGATACAGGCGAGGGCCAATAATCTGCCCTCTGCCTCGGAACCAACCCCCCATCCCGTGTGCCCAGCCATCATTTCTACTAATGTAAGTGTTAAAAAACCTAATATTATTGATATTTCTCTTAATTATAAATTGTGTGTGCATACCATCATAAAATTAAAGTTATTTTTACTACAAGGTGGTATTGTGTCTGAAAAAGTGGAGTTTGGGGTTGGCCCGTCTCGATTCAATTAATCCCATATGTTATATTTATTCACTTTCACGGGCGCCGTGGGTTGAATAACCTGAAGTGAGTTCACTGTATATATATGTATATATATATATATATATATATATACATATATATACACATATATATATATACATATATATATATATATATATATATATATATATATATATATACATATATATATATATACATGTGTGTGTGTGTGTGTGTGTGTGTGTGTGTGTGTGTTGTGTGTGTGTGTGTTTTTTTTTTTTATGTATGTCATATGTATATATATATTCACACACACACACACACACACACACACACACACACACACATACATACACACACATACATACATGCACATTACTGTATACATACATACATATCATACATATATATATATATATACATACATATATATATATATGCATATGTCATACATATATATGTATATGTATATATATATATATATATATACATATATATATACATATATATATATATATATACATATATATATATACATATATATATACATATATATATATACATATATATATATATATATATATATATATATATATATATATATATATATATATATATATATATATATATATATATATATATATATATATATATACACACACACACACACACACTGTATACACAAAAGTAATATTATGCATGGTAACTTGCTCTTTATTCATGAGCATTAGCATTAAAACATACCATGGTGATGTCATAATGCCAAGCCACAATGCAACCTGGAGCACCATTGTGTGATCATAAAAGCATCCTTTTGATCCACTCACTGAGAATAGTTTTCCACAAAATATTGTAAATAATAACACTACAATAACAGGTTTTCAAGCATGGCTACTAGACAGAACACAATTATTTTGATATACCGTGTGCTTACCAATCTAGCTCATGGCTATTGCTTGGTGCTCTGAAACACAGACAAGATATAAAGCAGCTGCTCATTGACATTCTCAGTAACAGCATGCCAATCTTACTGCTCCATAAGGTTCTCAGCCACAGCAAATATGATTGACTTTTGTGGTGCTCTCAACCATGCCACTAAAAACGGATTGATAAATGGTGTTCTCACTCATACAAAAGAAAAACCCTGAGATAACAACAACAATAAAACTACCGGTAATTGTAATGCAAACACTTGCAATTTATCAGCTTCTCTACTGTAATTCATAAATCCTATTTCTTTTCATACAATCAGATTTACAAAAACTGTTAATTACTTTACCCAAATGGTATAAGACCACCAACATAAAACCTTTTATACATTATCTGATCACTGCTGTTGGATCATACATGATATAGAGGCAGTCTGTAACCAAAGTATATAGTAAAGACTACTTCATGCTGCTAAAATATCATATAGACTGAATAATTTACCAAGCAAGCTTCAGCCGCATCTTCCAACTGTTTTCGCCGATCACTGGCATATTGATCTAAACGGCCCCATTTTTCTTTTAGGGCAGAAATACGCTCGCCGATAGCCTTAGCATCAGGGTGTCCAGCTTTGAACAAGGCTTCTCCAGATCTCATAACTTTCTCTGACTTTGGGCGACGGGCACGCATCTCATCTTCCAAAGCCTGAAAGTTAGAATATGATATGATCATACAGCTAAAACAGTACGAAAATGGTTAGTTATTATTAACAGCTGGTTTTATATTATATTTAGTGGATATCAAATATCACAACTAATGTATCATTTAAATGCACACTTTTTAAGACATCATATACCACTTACCAAGGCATGTTTATCATTCATGTTACATTCTTAAGCAATAAAAAATCAAAAAGGTAAAAGTACACATTATAAAGAAAATAAAAAGGAATACTGTACAGAAAATAACAGAGGCACAAACAAAAATGGGACAGAAAAATAAGTGCATTTCATACAACAAAACAAATGTGAAAGGCGGTCTACTTCATAACAAAAACTGGGGTGACTTTTTGGAAAACTAGAAAAACAATGACAAATGGCTTTACCTTAAGGGATGCAGCTTCCTGGTGTCGGAACAAGAGTTGTGTTAATGCAGAGGCACCAGGGTGAGGGAATCAAGTAGAGGGAGCCATTAGTATTAAGGTGACCAAACAAAATTTTTCCTTTATCAAAGAAACTGTTGACAATGCGACAAGCAACCTCAAGCACTGTTATGTGTTGCAGTTCAAGCAAATGCACTACAGTACTTGCTACTTATTATTACTATGTAGAAAGAGAAAGAACCATGTCCAATATGTACAGAAGAATATTATACTTCAACAGTGACATATTAAGGGAAAGCTGTTTTCGGGGGCCCTGTCACCTATAATGTGTTGTGATTTTTGTAGCACATCTGTAACTTTTGGCATATTGCATTTTGAATAATGGATATTAAAAAAATCTGATATTTTTCTCATTTGAGCTAGAATAAAAATTTTAAAACAACAAATGCATTGTTATGCATAGAAAATTTTATTTTACAGAATTTGAATACTGAGCTTCATATATTTCTTACCTCTGCTAACGGCCGTGTAATATTTCAATGTGATTATGATCTTTTAAAATGTTGTTTTTGCATAATGTACTACAGTATTACTGATATGTAATTTGTCTTAGTATGCCTTATTGGGGGTAAAAATAGGTACTATATATTAAATGCATCCTCCGAAAGCATGAATTTGCTACCCGAGTTTATCATTTAATTCACATATAATGCTTCTGAAAAACTAACTACGTGCTTGTGTTTGAAATAATGAAGGTATATATCTTTATATAATTTAGCTACTAAATATATTTTTCGTCAGGAACGGTCATCCCAACGATTATGAATAAACTTGTTTCGAAATACATCATAACTCAGGACAAAATAGCAGCAAGGTGATGCCAGATATTGTTAAGTGTTCAAGACTTTTGACCCCGACTGTTCACACATATGGGTCGATAATTTGGGATAACTGGGCAAGGCCAGAGCCCCATATGCGCCTAGTTATCAAGAGTTTACTGTACAGTGGTCCCTCGGTTAACGAGCGCCTCGGTTAACGAAATTTCGGTTAACGACTTACCTTCCATAAGATTCTTAACTTCGGTTAACGAGCAATCCCTCGATTAACGAGTTTCTTATGAGCCGACCTCAATGTGTTTTCGCTTGCATTTGGCGGTCCACCAGCTGTAGTATTAGTCCGCCAATACAGTAATTGGTTCTAGGGCTTAAATTCCTTACCATTTAAGCAAATATCAAGAAGTTTATAATATTCAATAATTTTAAAAGTATAATATTAAATTTTTTAGTCATTTTAACAATTATTGAACATAATTGAAGGTAATGAAACTAGTTTTATGCGCGCCATCCAGCCTCTCAACACACCATACAGGCGTCAGTCTTTGTGTCTTTTCAGTGGAGGTAACATCTTGCTTGAGACTCTTTAACTAAATGCTTTTCTCTGTTTGCAAGCAAATTATTGGTCATTTTGAAGTTTATTTTACATATTGACAATATATAATGCAGTGCAGTGTTGATTTTTAAAGAAAATAATCTTGAATTACACCAAGAGAACTAAAATTTTAAGGGTGAAATGGCACCATGGGGTGAACTTCTTTCACCCCAATGCCTTCTCTTCTCCCTTCTCCTCCACCCCCATTCTAATTCCCATCATCATCATCATCATCCAGGAGCCTTCTACATACACACCTCAAAGTAAGTGTACTTTTCTACCTTTTTTGTTGAATTTAGGCAATTTTCGGTGAGCTGGAACCAATTACCCAAAAACCCATTGAAACAATGGTTTCGGTTAACGAGTTTTTCGGTTAACGAGCAACCTTCTAGAACGGATTGTGCTCGTTAACCAAGGGACCACAAACTTTCTTTATAAAAAGCTGGAAAAGTAATACCATTTGTATCGTGAAAAATACAGTATTACCATAACTCTTGCCTAATGATTAGTGTGTGTGGTTGTGTCAAGAAACATGTTTGCTTGTATGTGAAGAGGTGGTGAGGGAGTAGACGTGTTAAGTTGGTGGCAAGTGGTGGCAAAGGAGTAGACGTGTTAAGTTGGTGGCAAGTGGTGGCGAGGGAGTAGACGTGTTAAGTTGGTGGCAAGTGGTGGCGAGGGAGTAGACGTGTTAAGTTGGTGGCAAGTGGTGGCGAGGGAGTAGACGTGTTAAGTTGGTGGCAAGTGGTGGCGAGGGAGTAGACGTGTTAAGTTGGTGGCAAGTGGTGGTCTCGATGTGCATTAACTAACATACCTTATAACATACAGGCAATCCTCAGTTTCCGAACTCCTGGCACAAGAACATTCGCTCATACAGGCATACTTTACGACCATGCTTTGTTCTTCAAACATTTGTTCTGCTCATAAAAAGACAGCATTTTCAAACATACCCACCACCACCACCGATCAGCAAAATGCAGGAATTCAGATACAGTATTTGAATGTGGGGGAACCAGACCAAGAGCTGTCTTCCACTTGTTCCCCTCCACAGTTTTGATTAAATTCTCCCTCCAAACATCCCTCTCATCACTTCTTATATATACTATATATGCAATTATTCATTTTATTTATTTTTATCTACAGGTACTGTATTCCAACAAATATTTTTTTTTTCAATAAATGGAATTACCACTTTTACTTAAAAATAGTGTTTCACTTGTGCCTGGGGACAAATTTATTATTCATATAGTTTCAATGAGATTTATTGATATGATTTACAAACATCTAGTTTAGAACTCTCTCGGGAACACCAAGTTCATAAACTGGGGACTCCTTAAAAACCATATTGTAAATTTTGGTTGCGAGTGTTTTGGGAAGTGTATGTGTGGTAGTTAATAGGTGATGGCAGCTGCTACTGACACTGGCAAATGTAAAAAAAATTGACACTAGGCTAAAAACAACCAGTAATCCATAGAAATTTTTACTTCATGTTTTTCCAATTCTAAATTTCTTCACTTAATTAGTTTCAATATAAAACTTACAATAATCTCTGATTATTGACCTTCATATCATAGATGGTGATCGTTCCAAATCCATATGCATGCACGAGTTTTGTTTACATTTTCACTTGCTAGACACCACAAAATTTCTACTTTCCTGTTTATTGTTACTGTAACACTTCTTTAGAGTGGCATGGAGATATGGCATCAATAATCATTTTGTGGATATCATAGTTAACACAGCAGTGCTTTTGGAGTAAGGCAAAAAAGAAATAACACCAAGATTGTTTAACATTTACATCGCCTTAATATACAGGGTATTATAATTAAATGCCACACCAGAGCCAGCCCAAAAAATAAAAAAATCGTGCAGTAATCAATGCAGGATGGTCAAAAACCAATGTAAAACAAAAAAAATTATACAAAGGCCTCTTGGTCCGTCAACATGGGAACAAAATGGCTTCCACATGACAGCAGCTCATTAATACTACTCTGTGCACTCTTGTCACATCATGCGCCTTCTTTGTATTGTATATACTCTCAGACACTATATTCTATTTTTAGCCCATAATACATAACAGTATATTGCAGTGACCACAGCAACACTTGTTATATACAATACATGTATTATCGTATATCACCGAGTCTACATAATTGTTATTGTTAAGATTTGACAGAAAACACACATGTAATCAGCCAGTCAGTGATGTAAAGTATGAGTATTGGGATGTGCTCAAGTTCATATGGGTGTGTAAAATGTTACAGTACAGGAAATCCTCGCTTAACGTCGTGGTTACGTTCCTGTAAACCACAACGCTAACGGAAACAAAGTTAACGGAATCAATTTTCCCCATAAGAAATAGATATAATACGCTAGTTACGTTCTCCAGCCTCCCTTTGCCCCATAAAATACATTACTTGGGTTCATACAAAGGAGTGTTAGTTACAAGACTAGCGAGGTCATCTTAAGATTATATCTTGCGCTTGTGAGACCTCACCTGGATTACGCAGTGCAGTTCTGGTCAACGTATTACAGAATGAATATAAAATCCTTGGAAAGAATCCAGAGGAGAATGACAAGACTAATCCCAGGCATTTGGAACCTTGAGTACAGAGACAGGTTAAAGCGTCTTAATTTGCACTCCCTCGAGAGACGTAGAGCGAGGGGCGACATGATAGAGGTGTATAAATGGAAGTCAGGGCTAAACAAAGGGGACATTACAAAGGTACTCAAACTATCCAACCAGGAGCGAACTCGTAACAATGGTTTTAAATTAGACAAATTTAGATTTAGGCGCGAAATTGGTAAACACTGGTTTGGAAATAGTAGTGGACGAATGGAACAAGTTACCAAATATCATCAAAACTCGAATATGCTGAATAGCTTCAAACATAGGTTGGATGCTTATATGAGCAATAGGGGTTAGGTGTAAATAGGACTGCCCAGTATGGGCCAATAGGCCCACTGCAGTTTCCTCCATTCTTACGTTCTTATGTTCTTAACTAGCAGCTTCACCAGTCATCTTAATATTATGGAAGTTATAATGATGCTTAAAACGTTTTAACTATCATTGGCTGGCCGTAAAGGTCTCATCCTTCGATCTTTCACCCTCTATGACCTTTAAGTTGTCGTACAAGGATTTTGCCTTCTGCTGGATAACCTTAAAGCTCAAAGGGGC